TTCTGTGGAACTAAACGTTTGTTTCTATGGGTATACTTGAGCTCATGCAAAATATGGGATATTTGAACATACATGAGATAATTCCATTTTTCATACTTGATTAACTATATTCCTGATTTTAAGGGTCCTTTGACCTCTTACAGCAAACTAATCTCTCCCTCCTCCTTCAACTAAATCTAAATATCTGTAGAACACAATTGTTTCACTAATGGTCAACAAATGTGTCTTGTTGGCTGTGTCCATAAAAGGGACATTTTCATTTGCAAACCACAGACTTGCAAAATTCTTGAGATTTTGAAATGTGTGGGGAAGGGAATAGGGGAGTTGCAAAGAGCTCTTCTAAGTTTATTAGGTTTTACAACAATGGTTGGTCAAAAAAAAAGAAAATCTAACAGCCCCTTTTAAGAAACTGAAGGATCAGGATTTAAATTTGAACATAAATTATTTAAGAAAGATAGGATAGTACATGAATGCAGGTTTAATCATCACAAGCTGTACCAACACAGAATCAGAAGTTGTTGTTTATCATACGAGGAGCTTTAAGACTAGTAGCATTTCTAGAAATATATCCTGACCAATTAATTTTGGATGCCAGCAGAGAGTTAGCTATAGGAATATTCATTAAAGCATTGTTTATACTAGTAAAAGTTTGAAAACAATTGGAATATTTGATTGGGATTGGTTGTGTTGCTCCATCAATACTATATATATTTAATGTATAGACATCTAAAATATTTCGGAAGATCAGTCATATGGGAACATGTCTCCAAGAAACCATTAAATGAAAAAAACAAGTCTCAAAATCGAATGTGCACTAGGACTAGTTTTAAGAAATAAAATTAAATATGTGTTAAGAGATTTTTGTTTTCTTTTTTCTGATTTACCTAAATTTTCGAAGTGAATATTTTCCAAGTCACTTATAAGGAAAAGAACAGTAAACATTTTATATGTGATTATTATAAGGTCATTGGGGCCCTGATTGGTGTGGCTTAGTGTATTGGGTGTCATCCCACAAAACAAAAGTTCATGGGGTTTGATTCCAGTCAGGGCACATGCCTGGGTTGCAGGCCAGGTCCCCAGCTGGGGGTGCATGAGAGGCAACCAGTGGATGTTTCTCTTGCACATCAATGTTTCCCTCCCTTACTTTCCCCCTCCCTTCCCCTCTCTCTAAAAATAAACACAATAAAACATTTTTTTAAAAAAGATCATCGGGCAGCATATACATAGAACTTACCAATCTTCCGAGTCTTGAAGACTTGCAGGTCAAAAGCGTAAGTTCAAAGAATTAAATTAATTGAAATACATTTATGGCCAGTGACTACACAGAAAGAAATGTTTACAGAGTATCTTAAATGTTTTTGAAGTTGCTGTCATAGGTGCAGCAGAGTCTGCTTTCACAAAACCTCCTGAACAGCAGCAGATGGGAGACCAGGAACTGAGACAAGAAAGGGGCACAGAAATTGCTCACAGTCAGTAACTGGAAAACAGACTGAAGGAATTATCACTGTAACCCCGAAGGGCATTTCTGATGTTCTCATGTTTTCCATCATTCCACTGACTCACTTGTCTGATAACTGATTATGCATGAGGCTGTGTAACAGCTAAACAACACCTGAAACAGTGATATATTTTACAGCATTCCATTTTTCCTACTTATCTGCACCAAACAACGCTAGAGATCAGAAGGCCACCCTTTTATTGTATTTTCCTCCTTACAGCATCTATCTATACTTCTTGTGCCTATCCTTATCATTTTACTCAAAACATACTCTGGTTAGTAGTGACCTTTTCCTGGGTAAACACCATGTCCTAAAAAAATTTCAGTTCATCTTAATCTCTCTATGAACACATAAGTAATCACCGTGGCATGATGGTCCCAATTTGCATCCTGTCCTTTCCTTTTTCCCTTTCTTGTGGTTAGAGGTTGGGGTTATAGTCCTTTCTTTGCCTGTTCTAATATCTGTATGATCTCGACCGAGCCACTTTGTCCTAGCAGGGCACAACTGATATGTGTGAAATCACTCTGTAAATTGGAATGCATTTTAAAATATTATTATTTATCTAGATGTGATATTTTCCTCAAAGTCTAACATTTTTATCCTATACTTTTGATTATATTTTTTAGTGAATTCATCTGATCCAAGAGTTAGGAATTGCATTTGCCACATTTTAAAAGACTCCTTCCATTACAATGAAGCTGATGCTGATTCAATAAGTACAGAATGACTTGTAACTTTAAAATAGCCACACCTAAAACAAGTAATTCTTCGACTGCTGAGCCTGAAATTCACTACAAATGATACATAAGTTTAGGGGAAAGGCTGAGTCATAATCGAAACCTAAAGCCTTCATTTTATATTAAACCTTTATGTTAAAAAACCAACTTTTGTCCTCTTTAAATCTGACAAATTTAAATCTTAAGACGGAATCAACTGAAATCAAATTTGAAAAGGCTAAGACCACTCAGCATTCAGTACTGGAACAGTGACTACAGCAGGCTGGAAACAAACGAGGAGACACAATAGACACAAAACCAAAGAATCTCGGCTGGAAGGGCTTCTAGAAGTCATTTAAACTAGTGAGTCCCAGAGTGTGGGATTTCAAGAGCTTATACATATTTTTTTAAAAAGAGGGCTGTCAGTTTAAAAAGAAAAAAATTTTTTACATGTCAACTTTAATTTTGCCAAATAAGGATATTAACAAAACAGAGCTATCTACCATTAGCACTATTTTCTAAAAGGACTCTTTATGCCCTGGCCAGTGTGTCTCAGTTGCTTGGATCATTGTCCTGTAAACTGAAAGGTCATGGGTTCAACTCCCAGTCAAGGCACATGCCTAGGTTTCAGGTTCAGTCCCCAAGGGGCAACCAGTTGATGTTTCTCTCTCACATTGATGTTTCTCTCCATTTCTTTCTCCCACCCTTCCCCTCTCTCTAAAAAATCACTAAGCATGTCCTTATGTGAGGATAAAAAATAAATACAAATACAAAAGGGCACTTTAATGACACATACACAGGAAGATAAAAATCTTAGAATAAGGCCCTAGCTGGTGTAGCTCAGTGGATTGAGCGCGGGCTTGCAAACCAGAGTATCATGGTTCGTATTCCCAGTCAGGGCACGTGCCTGTTGGGTTGCAGGCCAGTTCCCAGCAGGGGACGCACAAGAGGCAACCATACATTGATATTTCTCTCCTCTCCTTCCCTTCCCCTCTGAAGAGAAATAAATGAAAAAAAACTTTAAAAAAAAATCTCAGAATAAAATACAATTTTAAATCAGATAAATGAAAGAAAAAATACATTACACTACTCTTATTCTTCTACTATCTCTATGGAAACCTTTGTTAGACTCGCCCCTGTCCAAACACAGCCCTTGGGGCAACCCCAGCCTAGTCTATTCCATGCCCACTTCTACCCCTTCATCTCCAACCCAGCATTTGTATCCTTGTGCAAAGCTCCCTTTAAATGTCTATGTCGCCTGTCTGTGAGGAGCTCCAAAAGCTGAGGAATCCATTAAATTTTGGATGGCTTACGCTTGTTTGTTTTTTAACAGAATCTAACAGCAGAAATTAGGCCAAACATGCTTTAGAGTCACCAAAGGGAACATGCCTAAAAGTGCTGATTTGGGAGCCTGGGTTTGGGAGTGCCTCCAAACTTCGTATTCAACATTAGGAGAGTCTCTTCCCCTGTTTCAAATTCACGAAGACATTTAAACTAGGGCTTTAATACAAACATTTAAGTCAGAAGTACAGTATCGTGGAAGAATTTTAATTAAAATATCTTCCAGAATAAACTCCATTACTACTTCATCAGTTTTCAAAGTTATGGTTAAGTCCACATTTTCTTCCCATTCCATTCTAATAAAATCATTTGGGGTAGATTTTTTGTTTCAGTTTTTACAACAGGTTTGATTAATTCAGGATTAAACTCATTTAGTGGAGTTTGATTGGTATTACAGATTATAGTATCAAAGTTTTCTTTAGTGATCATTGTTACTACCAAAACCGATTTTCCTGTCAAATTTTGTAAACCAAAATATGGCCAAGGTGTGATTCTGATACATTTTTAGCAAAACATGTAATGTTTCAAATGTTGTCAATTTAATTTTGTAATAGTGATTTCTATCCTGTTTTTTGGGTCAATGTTGCAGTTTTCAACCTACTAAGACATGATTCCTCTGGCGGGGGGTGGTTGGCGCAGGGGGTGGCGCGTAGATATAACAACTTTTATGCGTAGTTTTTTTCATGGTTGTAAACCTTATTTTCTGTTGACTATATCTGCTAGTAGTATTAGGTTCTTCAATAGGGCAAGACCAATCAGCCCTGGTTGGTGTAGCTCAGTGGGTTAAATAGGGGCTGCAAAGTAAAGGGTCGCTGGTTTAGTCCCCAGCCAGGGTACATACCTGGGTTGTAAGCTAGGTCCCCAGTAGGTGCCATGTGACAGGCAACCTCACACTGATGTTTCTCTCCCTCTCTCTACCTTTTCTAAATTAAGAAAAAAAAAAAGACTAATCAGCTAGATTTTGCTAAAACCAAGAGCCCAGAACAAACCCAGCCAGCCCAGGGCTGCTTTTCTCTTCCTCTCCACCAGAGGCAACAGCGTCTCTCAAAAGAGAAATGGGGCTGGAGAGAAACTGGGCTGGAATAGGCCGGTTGCGGGGAGTGGCGGAAAGATCAAAATTTAAAACCGCCGCCTAGAGCAAAGGTCAATGCCCAAGTCCAAGACTTGAAGCTTCCGTCCTCCAAGAAAAGTGAAAGTGACTCCTCTCTAACTGCTCTGGATGCCTGGGGTTGCAGGGCCTTTCAGAGACCCGGCGTATCCGAGGTGACGGACAAACAAGGTGCAAGAGTACAACAGCTTACGACCGGAAGTGGAAATGAGACGGGGTGGAGGGTGGGGGGGAGAAAATGAGGCAAGGCCGCAAAGCGCATGCGCAATCAGCAGGGCTGCAGTGCGCAGGAACATTTGGGCGGTGACGAGATGACGCTCGGAGCGTAGGCCGCGACATTCGCCGGTTGTGTTCCGCCCTCCTCGCAGCCGACCCTCCGGGGCTAGCGCCTGAGATCCCTTTCCCAGAGTGCTCTGCGCCGTGAAGAAGCGACTCCCGGAGACTAGGGGCATTTTGCGTTGGCTGGAGCTGGAGTAACAAGATGGCGGCGTCGGCGGAGTGATAGGGGTCCCTCTGGGCGGGAGCCGGCGGCAGTGGTACCAAGGGTATCACCGCCCTAAGTCACTGCGCCCCTTTTCCAGCTCGCAACGTCGCCGCGAAAGCGTGGCACCGGCGGCGGCCCAGAAACAAGTGGCCCAGCCTGGGAACCGCGAGACCTCCTCACAAACTGCGTCCTGACCAAAAAAAGAAAATCCGACCGAGCGGCGGTGATCAGACTCCCCTTGGCGGATTCTGGGGCCCTGTGACGCCAAAAGCCAACATTTTCCGTTTCCCCCCGCCCTCCTCCGCAGCCTTGCTCAGGGGACGAGCGCAGAGGCCTCTGTCCTCTTCTAAGAGGTGTCGGGGCTTGGCCCCAGCCTCTGTCTTCGTCTCTCAGGATGGCGAGCAGCAGCGGCTCCAAGGCCGAATTCATTGTCGGAGGAAAATATAAACTGGTACGGAAGATCGGGTCTGGCTCCTTCGGGGACATCTATCTGGCGATCAACATCACCAATGGCGAGGTAATCACCCGGGGTGGGGTTCACGACTACGCCGTTCCCGTCCTCTCCCCACCCCCATCCCCGACCACTGCTCGGGCGGTTTCCCACCGAACGCACAGGGGAGTCCAGAGGAGCCAGTTTTCTCGGCTTAGGAACCTCATGCTCTTTCCCTTTTAGGGATGAAACTAGGAAGTTACCCAGATCCTTAAAAATGCACCGTAATCTAACTTTTTTGTAACCGTCGTTTAAGGTGAAAACGGCAGAATCCTATTTCTATGACCCGCCCTCCCAGTTTACATATATGATATATGTGTCCATTCTACTGGGCTTCTTGTTTCAGTTAGGACAGTTTCCGAGCGCCTGATTTTTTCATAATCCCTCGTTACGTTTTCTAGATGAATTATTTTCCTGCACTTTATCTAGAGGACGTGCTGATTTCGTCACCTACCCCCTGAAGAGGCCTCTGAGGCTGGAGCCTTCTTTTGTAATTACAAAGAGAGCTTTCTCTTCCTAGCCTCTCACTTTCTGGTCGCGAGTTGGAGCTTTGCTAACATCTCCCCTCCCAAGTGACATTGACTCCATAATGTTGATACCATTATCCCCTCTTTCCCCTGCAGGAAGTGGCAGTGAAGCTAGAGTCCCAGAAGGCCAGGCATCCCCAGCTGCTGTACGAGAGCAAACTCTATAAGATCCTTCAGGGTGGGGTCGGCATCCCCCACATACGGTAAGAACCCGCGAGCACTCAGGCGATGATCCGAGGGACGTATGGAACGGGGGAATGGGCAGAGGCCGGGAATACGACCGCCTGCATCCGGGCTGGGTGTACCATTACCTGGGCTGCCTCTGGCCGGTGGTTCCCCGAACCGTAAGTCCCCACCATCACTGAGTAAATTTCAGTTTGCCAACTTAGTTTAGAATTTCAGTGTCACACACTGCTCCGTTTAGCTTCGGACGCTCTTCCCGAGGCTTTCCTTTGCATTAAGCCTGCAGGTCATCTTTGATCCCTACCCGGGAAGGTTGGCGGCCGCTTTCTTTACGTCGGGCGCCTCTGATGTCCTTAGGTGTGTCCGGCGGAGTGGATTTGAAGGGGCCAAAGTGGTCAGCCCCGCCGGTTCGGGTTGCTATTGGAGCTGGCTTGGGAAATGGCTGCTCTTTTGTTGTGTTTTTGTTCCAACATGTCTTCCTCCTCCGCTTAGAAAATGGCGGAACGACGTGACTCAACCGCATTTTCCTGCCTTTTTCTCTGCTTGTGTTCACGAGGGAAGCTTCCTTGATTCCCCCTTTAGCAGACCTGAGTGGATTAGACCTATGAGAAGAATATAGCTGCAGGCAGTGATGGGGTCCAAGGAAGGAGATGGTACAATGACAGTCTGATCTTTGCAACAGATTCGACATGAAATTATTGAATTATACTATGCAGAATCCTTCAGATTCCTTTTAAAGGTGTTAATTATCCTTCCAAGTATGGCATGTTGGCTACAATGCAGTCTGTGTACTAAATTTTTATGGATAATAACAAAGGTAGTTTGCAGCACTAGGTTGAAATTGACTCGGATCTCGGTTGTATTAAAAGAAAGCATAATAGCGATATCGCAGTTTGATAAGTAACTCTAACCTGTTGAGTTACTTGGTCAGTAACTTGTCAGTCACATCAGGGAACGTGTGGCTTTATGGGGGAGGTGTGAAGGCAAGTACCATAGTAATGGTAGAGTTAGTGATAACGAGATAGTCTAGGTTTTTTGAAATGTTTAAAGGGTTTTAGAATAGTTCGACTTTAAAGATTAAAGAGTCTTTTCCTAGAAAAGAGTAAAATATAGCTTTAAACCCACCGGTTTTTCAAAATAAGTCAAATATCCAGAGATAATTGAGAATTAAGTGGCCTTAGTATTTACTACAGTCTCTTTCCATTCCAATTTCTGTTTCTCAAATCTTGAATTAAAGACTAGATTACATGCATTCATTCTAATGTGGAAAGAAAGTAACATTATCCTTAAACAATTTCCAATGCTGATAGACATTGTAAACAGAAATTGAATGATAAAATATTCCATTAGTTGTAAGTGAAAGTAAACTATGATTCTCTTCTCTTTAAAAACAAAAAATAATTTCGTGGGAAAATAAATTTGTTGTTATGAAAGAATGAAAATTCTGATCAAACTACCTAGTTCAATCTGTTCTCAAAGAAATTGTTGATTGCAGCAGCCTAAAAGTGGAAGACTCTTTTCCCTTTACACATATAATCTCTCCATCCTTGCCCCCACTGATTTGCTTTTCATCACTAGTTTTTTTGTAGTTTCACGTAAATGCAATCATATATGTTGTAATATTTGTGTTTGGCCTCTTGCTTAGCATAATGCTTTTTAGATTCATCCATGTTGGGAGATTTTATAAATTTCACAAATCATTTGCATTAAGCAAAAATAAAAAAAGCATCTGGTGTTTTCAGTGCTAACCCTGAATTAAATACATGCCCTTTTATCTAGTAGCTTTTATTTAAGGACAACGCTGATGCATACCATCAAGGGCAATAGTTAATATACTTAATAATGAATAAAGGAAATCCACTTGTGAACAAAATGATAGGCGTCTATTATTTATAAGTTGTGTGCAGAGTTGTAGTTAGCAACATAAACCGTGGGTGGAGCTGAAGAGGAGATACCCTGGCTTGCAAGTTAAGGCTTTCTGGGAGAGGAGATGGGATTTCAGGATTTGGCTCTGAGGAAGAGCTTGGTGAACTGGTTGGAGCAGGCAGGAATCCAAGAACAGAGTGTGGCTTATGGGAGTAGTCTCAGGCCGAATGTAGTAATTGGGTGAGGGCGGGGAATGAGTAAATTTGTTTTAAGAGTGGTGGAGTCAGTACATAGACACAAAAGTGGTTCGTTGGTTTTTTTAAGTGTGAGAGGACGGTCACTGAAGCAGAAAGCGTAAGAAAGACTTACATGAGTCTTTATGTGGGTGGCAACATCTTCCCCATCCCCTCAGTTCCCCACTGCTTCCAAATCACTGATACATCATATTCATATTCAATAAATGTTTGATAAATGAAATTGACTTAAACTAGATTAAGACAATCTACATGTTATGCATTGTTTTAGAAGTGTTGCAACTACTTTTAAAAATTTGGATTTTGCTGCACTTACACCTATTCCAGGCCCTCTCTGCCTGTTTTCTTTAATATACTTTGAAATATCCTTTACCTGACCTATAAAGCAGACCTGGCTGATCAGACCTTACTATGTAAGGACCTAATTAAGATGGCTGTTGTTACCCAGAGGCATAGCATCCAGTGTAAAGAGCAAGAATGAGAGGATGATGATGTCTGATTATTTTTAAGAAACTAAAATTCTTGGACCTTGTGAATTGGCCTCTGGGAACTCAGTTAAAATTGGTGTATTTCTGTTACGACCCTCACAGAATGTACAGCCCCTGTGACGCTCTGAATGGATGTTTTCTAAAGAAACAATTGTGGTATATAGCTCTAGATCGGCTGTGTGATACTGACCGAGTGACCCAGGGTCCTCAGTCCCTTTATTTCTTTGGGCCTATCATTTTCCTCATCTGTGAAATAAAAAGAGCCCCGGCAGGTGGGGCTCAGTAGATTGATTGAGTGCTGGCTTGGGAACAGAAAGGTCGCCGGTTCAGTTCCCAGTTAGGGCACATGCCTGGGTTGTAGGGGAGGTCCCCAGTTGGGGGCTAGCGAGAGAGCTGCTCAGTACTTCTCTTGAACATTGCTGTTTCCCTTTCATTCTCCCTTTTTCCCCCCTCTCTAAAAATAAATACATAAAATCTTTTTTTAAAAAATGAAATAAAAAGAATGTTACCAACTTAGATATTTTCTAATTTCTTTGGAGTGGAAGAGTGCTAGACAGAAAGGTTTCAGTTTTCCTGCTTACCTGGGAAAAGTTTTGCATATGAGCATTTTCGTAGGGATTTGTTTGAGTAAGTGTCACTACTTAGAGTTACTGGCCTACTTGATACCAAAAGTTTTAGTTTGGAAATTTTAAGACTTGTTTTCAGATAGTACCTAGAAAGCTACATTGAACATCACAGTTCAATGTCATGTCTACATGATATCTTTGAATGTTGCTTAGTTGAGACACCACTCAAGACTCTGGAAAATGGCATCTCCATCAGGTAAACCATAGGTTATCATTTAGAAGTAAGTAAATTAGTGGGATCTACTTTTATAAGGAAATCATGAATAAAGAAGATGGGAGGGGCAGGGGGATTGTTGTTACCTTGTTTTTTAAGGGTTTTTTTTTTTTGCCCTCTGAATGTCAAGTATTCTAGAAAATATTTTTAAAGTACTAGTTAATCCTTACCCTTCAGTGTTAAAAGCAGCTTAAATTTTAATCTTTGCTTTTTTGGCATTGAGGATATACCCTGTAAGTCAGTCCTACTGATGTTATCCGAGAACAAAGGTGACATCTGTACTGGGTATGTCTTTATTAGGAAGATCACTGGATACAAGAAAAATGTGATTTTAACTCCTAGGGTAACTGAATCCAAAGCATACTAAAGATGTTTAATATTGGCTTCTAATGGCTTCTAGTTGTGGAATGATGTAATGATGCTTAGGTAGCATTTTTGAGCTGGATGAAACCTAAGAGGTATAGTCCAACACCTCATAATACAAAGTAGACTCTTGGCTTTAGAGTCTCCTAACTCTGAATTTTCCTGTGAACCATTTTCACCTTACATCAAGGTCAGATCATGCCCGGTAATATGCCCTGCACCTTTTCATTTGAAGCTACAGAGCCATATGTTGCCTCCTTTACTTTAACGAGCTGCTTATAATTCTTATTCTCCAATTAGAATCCATGGATTGTAGGGTGAGAACATTTGTTGGATGTTATTAATTTGTGTTTTAAATTTGAGTATATACTTGTGAACTCGTGTAGTAGAGTACATGGATTCTACTACCTTGGTTTATTTTTAGAGCTGTATCATTTTGTTTCAAAGTATATTTAAGCAACCTTTTTTCATTATTAATGTTTATAGTCAGAACTTTAATGTCAGGAACTCTGTGTAAACAAGCTAGAATTCGAAGCACTGTTATAAATTGTATCTTTTATGCTTATTCTATTTATATTAAAAATCAGTCCTTGAGCTTAAAGTTTTTTCTGTGGTTAAGTTAGTACCTTAATAGCTTTCATAATATAAATGATTACCTAGTTTATATGTTGCTTTGGTTACTGTTCTTGTTTCCAGTACTGTCACTGGTGGTTCTTGAAATTTTGAATGACCAGTAATCATATAATGTGGACAAATGTATATCTTAATGGAATTTTTAAAAAACGAGGTGTAGTTACAGTGAAATGGACAGTTTTTAATGTGCCATTGATTCAGTGTGAACAAATGCTTGTACTGGTGTAATCCACACTCCCTGTTGAGATAAAGAATAAAGAATATTTGATTTTTTTTTAAAGTGGTAATCTTAGGCAAGCTACATTCTGTGACAACATAGGTTCTCTTTCTTTTTTCTTAATTGGTCTTTCGGATTATGGTTACTTACTACTTTTTCTGGATTTGATGGTACCAATCTATGACTATAGGTTAGTAGTCTGCTTATTGCCATGAAGTACACTATTAGATTTATCTAATAAAATAATCAGATGGGGTAATGAATACTTTAGTGGCAGTTGAGCTCTTCACCTGGTTCTCTATTGAAGGACTAAAATACTGCTTTTTACTTATCTGTAAGCCGTCATTGGGATCTGTGGT